GGCCGCAATGATTCGCAAACATGGCGTAGCTCGAGGCTTGCGGCTCTCGGCACGAGGTTCCGAAAGGCCTCGGAGAGCCTGCGAGCGGCCTCGGAGAGCCTCGGGGGCGCCGGCGACGGCGACGACGGGCGAGGATCGCATCGTCGAGGCCTCATCCTCGACCCCTGGATCGACGGCCCAAGATCCCCGGGCCCTAGGGCGCAGGCCCGAGAACACGGGGCCCTCGATCTGGGCATCGAGCCTCGACGATCGATCGAGAGCTCGTTTCTCCGCGGCTCGCGGCGCTCGGGCGCCGCCCACGGGAACTGTCGCAGACCCAGCGGGGCGGGCTCGACCCGGGGAAAAGGCCCCTCGACTCGAGAGGCCCAGAAAGAGGGCGCGATCTCCTCGTCTGACGCCGTAGTTGACTGGGCCTCCTCGTCGGATGTCCTGGTTACTTCCTCGTAGTCGTTATCCCTCCTGGCCGCGTTCTCGGCCTCCAGCTTGGCGCGCTCGACCGCGATCTGCGATCTGCGATCTTGCCGCGGGCGGGGGACTTGCTCTGGGCGAGGCGCTCGAGCAGCTCGCCGGCATCGCCCTGCTTTTCCTTGGCCTCCTCGTCGACCGCGGCGCGCTCGGCCGCGCAGTCGCGCTCGCTGAGCTCGCGGGCTGCAACGGTGGCCTCGGGGACGCGCCAGCGCCGCTTGACCGCGGCGTTCGCCTCGTTCTCGCGGTCGCCCCCGCTCGCCGAGATGCCGCTGCCCCTGGCCCGCTTGTGAAGTGCTCGTTGGTTTCCTCTTGCAGGCCGTTGGTCGCCTTGAAAATCTCGGCGCGCTCGACGTCGATGCTCGCCGTCGCGGGCTCGAGCCGCCTGTTCAGGGGAAGCGCGACCGAGCCGAGAGCTCGGGGGCCTTGGGGGATCTCGCCGAGGGCGCGCTTGACGACGTCGGAGTAGCCCTGGCCCATCCTTAGCAAGACCTCGGGCCCCGCCTCGAGCTCCGACGCAGGCCGCCTCGAACGTCTCGGCCCTGCAACTCGGGGAAATCTGAACCACCGTCGCTTTTCTCGCAGTGCCCCCCGGATGGGTCGCAGAGCACCTCGGACGTCTGGGCGAGCGTCTCGCAGAAAGCCGCCGCGGCCATCTCGGCCCTCCCCCTGTCTTTCTCGGCGGCAATGTCTCGGTGCATGATGCTCGCCTGGCTGCCCCAAATGCGGGTGTTCTCGGGGGTGGCCGACTTGGCGCCCCTCGACCGCGCGGCGAACTTGCCCAGGACGTAATTGTTGATCATTCTCTAGGCGTCCGTCGCCCGCCTGCAAGCCGGCGCTGGAGCATCTCGGCGCAGCTTGCATGCTCGGCCAGGTCGCCGAAGAGCGTGTTGGTCTGCTCGCCCTCCTCGATCCGCATCTCGAGCAGCTCGACCACCTCGCCGCTCTGGGCCACGGAGACCTCGGCGCGCCTGGAACTTTTGGACAGCGCCGCGCGCGTCGCTCGGGGAAGCCTGCTGGGCAGTCGGGGAATGCCGGGCACATGTTCACCAAGTGCTCGAGCTCGACAGCCGCTCGAGCCTCGAGCGACAGCCAGGAGATAGGGGGGCTATAAGGCGCGTTGATGGGGACATCCTCGAAAACCAAATAGGTAGTCGCGCGCTCGGGAATCCCCACAAATTGTCGTTTCGCATGACGCGTCCTAACAGGCGCGACATGTTCGCGACAGCGGCCTTTATGCGAACGTGAGCGTCTTGCTGGTGACATCATCTAAAATCATCATCGCGAACTCAGCGGAAAGTGTGAGTTTCGCCGGGCACATTCTCGTCGCAATGGCATGGTCGCGGCAGTTGCCGTTATTGAAATAAGCGCAATGATTGAGACCTCATCGCATGTTCGCGACGGTGCCTTTGACAGAAACCAGCGTTTTACCTGAGACAGCATCGGAACAGTGATAACAACGAATTCGGCCAATCTCCGGAACTGCGCGTTTGGCCTGGGGCATCCTCGCGAAAATGTCACTAATGATATTCATGGCGCCATGCAGGAGATGGAGATCCGAGCTACGATAGGGATTTTGGAGGGGGCACGAAAGGTCGCCCCCCCCCCCCCGCCTGCCGCGGCCATCGAACCGCGTTCAACCTCACGGATAAAGAGATGCAAAGGTTAGGAAGGGGGGGTCAGCTTTCTCATCCGGGGGGCGCGGCTGAAACTCTGGGTGCCCAAGCCAACACCATCGCGCAGGTAGACTGAATGCAAAGCTAGCCTACTCAAAATCGATGTTCGAAGAAGGCGCCTCGCCAGCCTGGCAGGCGCTCGGGCGCGCGGCGTGGCGGGCCGCGTCCGGAAATCCGAATGGCGCCTCGCCGAGACGACGCCTCCTGGTGCGAAGCCTGTCTCCGGGCGGTCGGCTGGGGCACCGTGGTGTTTCCGGCCCTTGGGTGGGCGCGTTGAATGTGCTGCGTCGTACTTCCCTTCTAAAAACTTACATTCCTGAAGGTACACGATGCCCCCTCCCACCAGATCTATGACACCCTTTTCACCTGATCTACGAGCTCAGGCCCAGGGTGGACAAAGTGAGAGGCCTCATGCAACGCCGATGGCGCTTCTGCTGCCCCTGCCTCTCTGCCAGCCTCAGCTCCGCCAGGGGCTGCGCCTCGATGGGAGGCTAGCTGTGCCGGGCCCGGGCTGGCCTGGGGCGCTTCTAGGTGCTGCTGTTGCTGCTGCTGCTGCTTGATCGCCAGCGGACATGTCTTGCCCCCTCTTCCTTTAGCAAGCAGCCTTCCAGACTTTCTTGGCCTCATTCATTCATTCATTCATTCATTCATTCATTCATTCATTCATTCATATGGGCCAAAAGGGCCTTTCAGACCATTCTTGGCCTTTTTTGCGGCAAGCCTTCTCATTCATATGGGCCAGAAGGGCCCTTCTGGGGGCTTCGGGGGTTCCCAGGCTACCTCGGATGTTGTTGTCCAGCTCCCTATCCTGCAGATCCATCTTGTCCTCGGGGTCCTCCACGTACCCACCAAACTGCACTGCTGGTGCTGCTGGTACTGCTGTGGCTGCTGGGAGACGAGCTGCTGCTCGATCTGCCGCCTGGTGATCGGATCTTTGACCACGTTCCCCGCTGTCTGCCTGCGTGCACGTGCGTGCGCGTCGCTCGACGATTCGGTTGGACGGGGCTCGACGGCAACTCATGCACTTTCCTGGAATTCCGCCTGTGCCTCTGGCCTTGCCTCTGAAATCTGTTCCTGAATATCCTCAACCTCGGACTCATGTTGTCCAACCTCCTTTTCCAGCTTCTGAAGGATGGTGGGGGCCAAAGCGTGGATTTCCTTATGGGCCCGGTGAAAATTGAAAGCCTGATCGAGAAGTCCTGCTGGAACTTCATCAATATCTGTGCCACCCCTGGCCTTCTGGGCCAGCAGGTGGAGGAGATCGTGATCTGCCTGGTTGGGGCGGTCGCCGCGCCCCCAGTATCCTTCCCTCCACGCCCCCCACAAGGTCCTTGTTCGCCTAGCCTGGGTCCTAAATCCATTGACCTGGCGGTCCACGGCCCCCGCGCCCACGCCATTCCCCTCGACCCTTATTGCGCCAGGGAGTCCACTCTCTCGCCCCCTTCGCCCCGTGACCGCTGGCTGGGTAGGGCGCTGGTAAGGTGAGCGCCACAGTGATAAAAAGACTCGGGTGCCCCATGATTTGTTTGCAGCCGCAGTGGCCGCACGGATGGGCGAGCTTGGTTTCGTCTAGGCCCCATTGGGATCCACAGCCATCTCCCCCCGCTCCATCAAACTCGGCCCTGCACGCCCAGCAGCTATGGCAGCTGCGGGAAGCAAGCCCTGGAGCTCCAGGGTGCGGGACGGCCGAGGGCGGCCAGACCTGTTGGCTCCTGCGCCGAAGCTGGGAAACTAAGGAGAAGGCCCCTTGCGCCAAAATGGTTACGGTCACGGTCGCTGGTATTTTTCCTCCTCTCCCTCCTCCTCCTGCTCCTCCCCCTTCCCTTCGTCCGCCTCCTCCTCCTCCTTCCTCCTCGCCCTCGTCCTCCTCCTCCTCCTCCTCCTCCTTCTCCTCGGACGCGCGGGGGGCTCGCGAGCGCGGGGGTGTGCCCTCGCGCTTTCCTGCAGGGCTGCCTGGGCAAAGGAGGCCCTACCATCCTCGTGCCGTGGGCAGCATCGCGACGAAAGGTTTGTGATTGGCCATCATCCCGGGGCCTTCAGAAAACGACTCAGGATGAAAAGCCCATCCGTGGGAGGGGCCCAAACCTCGGAGGACCCACGTTTCGAGACAACGACGATGCCCGACGTCGGGGTCTCCTGCTCGAATGACGGTTGCACTGTTCCTCGCAAGCGCGCTGAGATCCTCCTCGGTCAACTCTGGCCCGTGCGGAGGATCTGGGGCCATCCGCTCCGGGGCATCGGGGGACGAGCCCGATGACCACAAGTTACCATGCTGGCGCATGCGATCTTTTGTCCAAGCCCGTTCTGCCTCGCAACGCCATTGGGCTCACACCTCCGACGTCGTACTTTTTCACGACCTGGTCCCCCGAGATCTCGACACCACCACCGGGACAGGCCGCCCGTCGCGGGCTGGGTCCCGAGGCTCCCTTCTGCAGGAGTCGGCAGCGCCCTCTGCCAAGGAGGAGCGCCCGTCGAGGCCTGGTCTGGGCTGACTGGTGAGCTCACGGAGGCTGGCGGGTCGACGGCCTCTCGCCGGTGGCCCCCAATCAGCGCAACACCTACTTCCGTTCGGCAGTATCCTTCCAGAAGATTCAGCAGGAGAGCCAACTCGGACCGCGGCGGCGCAAGCTGGAGGGTTGGTATCGTGCTGTTCCTTCTCCCTTTACTGCCCCTCTCGTGTTCTCTCTCCGTCATGCTCGATCCCCCATCCCCCGTCCTTCGTCTTCCATCCTCCGTGTTCGATCCTCCATCATCCATCATCTTCCGTCCTCGTCCCTTCCTCCCTCCCGAGGCTGCGGATAACATCCATGAACCATGCGTACCTCTTTCTGCTCCTCTTCCTCCTTCCCCCGGAAGAGCCAATCGCCACGCGCACGCGCCAGCGCGGCATCGATCGCCTCGTCGGAGTCGTCGATGTCCTGTGAAGGGGCGTCGGAAGCGCCGCGGGGAGATGTCGTCGTCTTGCTGGCCATGGCCGAGAGATCAGCTGCAGGCTGCCGCCAATGCTGCCCTCGCTGCTGCCGCTCCTCGTCCTCCAGCCCTTTCCTTGTGAATGACTCCTCCCTGTCGCACCCCGAGGCAGATCGAAAGGGCGGGCCGAACGTTTCGCCTGAGATGTATCTCCATGTATGCGGAAACTGAAACGGTGCAACGGTTTTACGGATGGAGGGCGTGTCGCTTTCAAAATGTTGCTATCGCCCTGGCGCCGCGCGCATTCGTCGTAAAAGTTTGCCAGCTATTCTCGCATGGAGGGCGGTTCATATTCAAAATGTGGTTACCGCCAGGGCGCCGCGCATTTTCATCTTAAGCGTTTGCAGCGGTTTCAAGGAGCCTTCTGGTCGACGTCCCAACAATCGTGTTTTGGCACGATGTCGGAATGTCAGGGCGCAACAGACACGTTGATTCGCGGTATTGAAGACCCAGGAATAGTTTTTTGACACGATTCCGGATCTTCAGGACTCAGCAATAACGGTGATTCGTGACATTGAACTTCCAGGAAAGGTTCTGGTACAGTTCCCGACGTTCGAAAGATTGTCCTCCAACGGGGCACTTCCCTCAGTGAAAGTGAAACCTTGTAGGGCCTATGAACAGGGAACTTAGAGGAAGGGTTTATTGCATCATTGCTGATGAGTCTGGAGTTTGCACTGGTCATCCTCATCCTCTTCCTCCTGGTCGTCATCTCCTTCCTTCTCGTCATTCACTGCAAAGGGGGGAGAATATTCGAGGCCTTGTCTCGGGGGTTATGAGGGGCTTTCCTGACGAAGTCCGGGCTGCCCGTCCGCATCCTCCTGCTCTCTCCTCCCTCCCCCATCCCAGGACAAGTCAATATCGAAACGGGATGTTTCTCCGATGGGATGAGACGCTGCAGGGTCGTGCTTAACAAGGTCGGCATCCGGCGGCTTACCGCCTGGTGCCCTCGACCAAAATTCGAGCGCAGCGCTCCGGGCGGCCGCAGTGGGCCCCGACCTCGCCGGCAGCAGCTTGCCGAGAAACCATAGCGCACGCTGCCACGCCCCGTCCTTCTCGCAGGCAATGATTGCGGCTTCGTGAAAATAGAGGTCGGGCTCCACTTTCATCTCAAACGCCTTAACGAGCAGCGATAAGGCCCGCTGCCACTGTTTCCCGTTCCTACACGCGTTGATTCCAGCCCTGTAGCTGATGATCGTGGGCTCCAGCTTGCCTGCCCGCATCTCGCTGAGCAGCAACAGAACCGCTGCCACTGCTTGCCTTAATCACACGTACTGATCCCATCGTTGTAGCTGATGACAGTGGGCTCCAACTTCGTCTCGACCATCTCGCTGAGCAGCGCTGGCGCCCGCTGCCACTGCCTCCCTTTCTCGCGCGCGCTGATCCCAGCGTTGTAGCTGATGAAGTTGGGCTCCAGCTTCGCCTCCCGCATCTCGCCCAGCAGCGCCAGCGCCCACTTCCATTGCTCGCCCTTCTCACGCGCGCTGATCCCAGCGCTGTAGCTGATGACGTCGGGCTCCACCTTCGCCTCCCGCATCTCGCTCAGCAGTGCCAGCGCCGGGTGCCACTGCTCGCCCTTCTCAAACGCGCTGATCCCAGCGCTATAGCTGATGGCATCCGTTTCCAATCGTTCCTCGGCAATCATTCTGAGCACCGACAATGCCTGCTGCCTGTGCCTACCGTTCGCGCCCGCGCAGATCGCAACGCCGTAACTGATGACATTCGGCACCGACTTCTCATCCCGCATCTCACTGAGAAGCAACAGAATTCGCTGCCTTTGGCTGCCCTTCAGGTAAGCACCGATTCCACGGTTGCAGCTGATGATGTTGAAATCCAATCTCGCATTCCACATGCCGCTCAACGACACGACAACAACTGCTGCCACTGACCGCTTGTCTCGCACGCGCTGGTCCAAGCGTTGTAACAGATAACGTTCGGCTCTAGCCTCGCTTCACGCATCTCGCCTTACGCGAGTGCCTGCTGCCACTGACCGCCAGTCTCGCAAACCCTGCTTCCAGCACTGTAGCTGATCACGTCTGGCTCCGCACTCATGCACCACAACTCTCTGTGAGCAAAAACAGCGCGAGCGGCCAATGCCCACCTTTATCGCAGGCGGTGGTTGCAGCATTGTAGCTGGCTATATCCAGCTCCAAGTTTGCTTCCCGCCCCTCGCAGAGCATTGACAGCGCCTGATGCCACTGCCCGCCATTCTTGCGCGCGAGTCCCGCATCTCGCCGAGCAGCGCCAGAGCCCGCTTCCACCGCCCGTCCTTCTCGCGCGCGTCGGTCCCAGCGTTGTAGCCGATTACGTAAGGCTCGAGCTTTGCCTCCCGCATCTCGCTGAGCAGAGCCAGAGCCTGCTGCCGATGCTCGCCCTTCTGGCGCGCGCTGATCCATCCCAGCGAGGTAGCTGCTCGCGGCGGGGTCCAGCTTCGCCTTCCACATTGCCCTCAACTGCGCCAAAACTAGCTGCCATTGATTGCCTTCCTCGCGCGCGCCGGCTCGGGGGTTGTAGCCGATGGCGTTGGGCTGCAGACTCGCCCCCCGCATCTCCCTGGGCAGCGCCCGAGCTCGCTGCCACTGATCGCCCTTCTTGTACGCGCTGACCCCAGTGAACACAGTGATGACGTCGGGCTCCAGTTTCGCTTCCCGCATCTCGCGGAGCAGCGCCAGAGCCCTCTGCCATTGCTCACCCTTCTCGCACGCCGCGAGCACGGCGTTGTAGGTGATGACATTCGGCTCCACCTTCAGATCTTGCATCTCCCTGAGAAGCAGCAGAGCCCGATGCCACTGCTCTTCTTTCGCGCACGCGCTGATTCCTGCACAGTAGATGATGACGTTCGGCTCCAAACTAACATCCCGCATCTCGCTCAATGCCAACACAGCCCGCGCCCACTGACCATGTTTTGCGCAAGAGCTGATCCCTGCTCTGGAAGTGAAGACGTCGAGCTCCAATTTCGTATCTCGCACGCCGCTGACCAGCCACAATGCATGCTGCCACTACCCGCCTGCTTCGCACGCACTGATCCCAACATTGTAGCTAATAACGCCGCGCTCCAACTTCGCCTCCTCCATCTCACATTGTACCGACAGAGCCTGCTTCCAGTGCCTGCCTTTCGCGCACGCGCTGTTCCCAGCGTTGTCGCTAATCCGGTTCGGCGCCATGTTCGCATCCCACATATCACTGAGTAATGACACAACCTGCGGCCACCTTCCACCTTGCTCGCACGTGCTGATCCCAGCGCCGTCCGAAGCTGATGATGTCTGGTTCTAATATCTCCTCCCACATTTCCTTGCGCAACGACAGAGCCTGTCGTCATTGTCGGCCTTTCCCGCACGCGATGATCTCTGAGTTATAAGTGATGACGTCAGGCTCCATTTTCGCTTTCATCACCTCGCGGAACAACGAAATCGTTTGCTGCCACTGCCTGTCTCTTTCACATCTGCTAATCGTCGCAACGACCAGGCTCGGATTGCCTTTCGTCCTCGGTTGAGATGCGCCGTTGGACAAGAGCTTTGGGTTGACTTGCGTCCCAAACGCTTTCGCGGGACAACCGCGGCGACGTGCGCCACTGCCTTGTCCCTTCGCGCCTCTTGGCGGCCAACCCGGAAGCTCACGCCATGCCCTCGATGCGCTCGGTGCGCGCGCCGCAGGGCGGTCAGGACACCATGCCAACAGCTAGGCCCCCCGCAGGAAAGGCAGGCGGAAGTCGAACAACAAAAAAACTTGAGCCAAAATGGCTACGGAAAATTTGATCGGATAGGAACGTGCGCCAGATCGGCCTGTATCGACACGGACTCGAAATCGAATCGGATCGGCCACCCCACCGAGATGCGCAATATTGCCATGCAAACTTCGGGCCGCATCGGATCGTCTGCGTGTGTATACCTATATATATGTGTATATATATATATATATGTGTGTACTGGAATTGCATCGGATCGAGCCGGCCAGCATCGACATCGCATCATATCGATCGGATGGAAACGGACCCTGGTCGGTGCCGTCCCGAAGATCCGCGGGCCTCCGCGTAGCTGCTCCCGGACCCTCGATCAGCTCCCCTGGGACCTGCGCGAGGGGCTGCGGCCTCCGAGCAAGGTCCGCACGTGCGCCCAGGGGCAGTGCAAGGTGCGGGGGTGCCTGCGGTGATGGCGACGTGTTGGGCAGAAGCCTGGCGCCTGGACGACTCGACCAACAACGCCCACGCCTGGCTCCGTGATCTTCTGCCGCGCAACGCCGCTAACCCAGGCGGCGACGGCATGACCGCCACCAGCAAGACAGGATGTCGCTTGACGCGGGGGGAGAGCAATCGGAACAATCGCCAGCCAAGCAACTACCCTGTAGTGGGCCAACGTACCGCTGGTGATTACCACGCTGCTATGGCACGACATCAGAACCGCGTGTAGTCAAATCCGTGGACCGCGGCTCCTTGGCTTCTCATATATCTTGTCGACGACTACGACTGAAAGGGACTCATTGGATAGAAGCCCTTGCTGAAGGCAAGGCAACATCATTCAACATCGAATCTGGAGATCGGATTGGACCAGGACGTGTTTCGGATCGGTCCGCATCGACCGAATCGGATAGGCCGCGCCAGGATCCACAACAACGCCCTGCCAACATTAGGCCGCGTCGGACCGCCAGACCATCTGATGTCGAATCGGACCGACGCTGACCCCAGCAGGGCGGCCCTCGATGCGGGCCACAATTAGAGGCCTCCCAGATGGGGTCGGAGTAGATGGGGTCGGAGGATCGCGCCGCATCGCCGATACATCGGCGATGCCTCGGCGATGCACCGGCGATGCATCGTCGACGTGGGCGATGCATCGGCGACGTCAACGTGAAGCAAATCGGGCTCAACATCGAGCCGCATCGACGATGCGTCGGCGATGCGGCGCGATCCTCCGACCCCATCTACTCGGACCCCATCTGGGAGGCCTAGAACACCGCACGAGCCGCCGCCGAGGGCGCCGGCGACGCGGGCCACATGTCCGGAACTCCACACAGGGGAGCGGCTCAGGCACGGGCGCAGCTCGTGCGCGGGCCGGGGAGAACAAACTCGGCGGGCGCGGGCGCCACCAGCACCACAGAGACGAGGGCAAGACGAGGACATATACGGACGAAGACAGATCAGGAACCTCTGAAGGCCGCTGGGTCTGGAGGATGCATCGGGCGCCGCGGCCGTCTCGGAGCGCTCCGAGACTCCCTGAGAGCGCTCCGGACGGCTCTGGGCCGATTTGTCCTCATCGCAGGCGTGCCCGAGGCCCAGGAGGGCGCACATGGGGCGCGGCACCTCCTTTGACCAGGTGACTCGGGCTGCTAGCGTTTTAAGAATGAGGGCCGACAGTCCAAAAGACGCGTGCTAAGGGTAGTTACGGTCAATGTGCGTTTGTCCAACCAGGCCCTTTCGATATCCAGAGCGCAGTGCCCACCAAGCCGCCGACGTTGTCGGCGGAAGTGAACGAGGTAAACCTACATTGGTCTATCAAACGCACGCCACGTGGATCGTCAAGAGGGGGGCAGCGAAGGAGGAGGCGGAGAACGGATGACGAAGAGACAATAATACACCTTCCATACCCAGACATCTGTCGATTCAGTTTCGTCGGGTCACCAGCCCCCAAAGCTCTGGATGCCTTCTTTGGGATCGCCTGTTGATTGTGAATCGCACGTGTTGGCAATTGTGCGCCTAAAACAACCGTCCAGGTACGGACAATGATGAAACGCCGCCGGCGTGGTGTCTTTCAAATCGCCCTCAAAGATAAGTTGAAACGCTTGGGGCGCTTCGGGCTTTCACCACTTCTGGCAACCTCCGGCCAGAAGTGTTGGCGAAATCCAATCCACACTATTCCTGGGCCCCTCCGAAGGCCCATCCTGGCCCACCCAAGTGTCAGCTCGTGATATTACACGGGGGGCGCGTGGTTTGAAAAACTGTTCCCCTGCTCTGGCGAATCGCGGGGGGGGGCGCCAGCCAAATGGAAACACACGGCTGCGGCGCTGGTGATTAAAGCCGACGCCAAGCGGTACCGATTCAGCGGAAGGGGGACAGCAACGCCTCCGCTATACCGGGGCGTTCGGGCCAAAATTGTTGTAGACAACAAAGGAGACGTGGGGGGAAAAGGCGCCTCAGCTGGCGAGCGGTGCCGACATGGCTGTAAACAGGAAAGCGATGACTGGGGATGAGCGGCGGGGGCATGCGGAAACGGGCTTTTCCTTCTCCTCCTCCACCATTCCCCCCATCCACTACAATATGTCCCACTACGACGACGGCGACGACGACGGCGAAGGCGACGGCGAAATACTTCTGATGCCCCATAGGAGGGGCGCTGCGTATGCCCACTGTCGTCGACGACAACGACGAAGACGACGACGACGCACTGCGGATGCGGGTGTGCTGCACATGCCCGCTGTAGTCGTCGCCGAGAACGACGGCGCACTTCGGATGCCCCATGGGGGGGTGCTGCGTAGGCCCGCTGTCGTCAACAACGACGACGGCAACGACGACGACGCACTGCGGATGCTCCATGGAGGAGGGGGCAGCGCAGGCCCGCCGAAATGCTGAAACTGACGACGACGATGACGACGATGACGACGATGACGACGACGACGGCGACGACGACGAAAGCGACGACGACGGCTAACGATCGACGACCGACGACGACAGATGACGACGACGATGACGAATGCCGACGGACGATGGACGACGACGACGACGACAACGACGACGACGACGAATGACGACGGACGACGACGGACGACGAGGATGACGACGAAGGACGACAACGACGACGATGGCGACGACAAGGTGGAAACACTTCGCCTCTGATGTATATGATCTCCATAACAAATTCTATACAACAGGTAATCGTTGTGAGGCTGCCGCGCAGGGGGGTACACGATCCCCTCGGTGGCGCCCGCGACGACCCTTTGGCGCGCGTGAACTGAAACAAATATTTCGCGCCCTGCGGGGCCTATTTATTCATCAGCGGGGGGGGTTATTTAAGAATCACTAGCTGACATTACGAACCACAGCCGTGGCGACGAGGAAGGCCCTCGAAGGCCCCCCAAAGAGTAACGAGGATATTCCTTCCAAACTTTAGCACCTCGGAGGGAGAGAGCGAGCGGCGCGCACAACGGGGGCAACGTTCTGAGGATTTCCTTCCAAAGTGAGGGGCCTGACCCCTCCCGATTCTCCTCCGAGCCCTTCTGAGAAGGCCCAACTGCGACCACACAAGAGAAACGTCCAGTGCGATAACAAAAAACACCACCCGTCTCCAGTGCGGGACAAAAAACAAACAATTTTCATGGCGCTTGGGTTTTCATGTTTTCGCCATGTGCTACCGCACTTGGCTTGGCCTTCCAAAACGCCCCCCCGGCCTTCTCAGAAGGCCGCCGCTCTCGATCCCGAGCGCCGCCGGTCCAGTTGGACGAACGGGGGGATATCAAAGGTGGAGTGGGGGATAAACTGCATGCAGAGCAGCTGGTTTTCCCGGAGCCCCCTGGCGCTGGAGGCGTCGACGCATCGAGGAAACCGCCCAGCGGCAGGGCCGCATCCCGCTGCACGCAGCAATTTTGGACCCCCCCTCCCAATGAACCCCCTTTTCGTCTCAGACTCCCCCGGAAGATCCTCATCGCCTGGCTTCCGAGTTTGAACTCGGGTCTCTGGCGGTCGTTCGGACGGTTCGGACACCCGCGGAACGCTCTCGGCGAGGCGTGGCTGTTGGAGGGCATTCCGAGGCTGGAAAACCGCGGAGAATCATCGAAAACGTCCGAAAACCTGAGCCCCGAACTGAAGGCCTTCCAAATGTGGGGTCCGAAGGTCGCGCCGCATCGCCGATGCATCGGCGCCGCCGGCATGGAGAAAATTGGGCGAGCAACATCGCCGATGCATTGGCGATGTGGCGCGATCTTCCGACCCCCTCTGCTCGAGCCCCCTCTGGAGACCTGGACGACACCCCTCTCGAGCAAGTGTCCCCCCCCCTTTCCACGGGCTCGAGGAAGAGGACTTCCGCCGGCGCCCAGGGACTCGGCCGCGCTGCCGCGAGTGCGGCGCAGGCGCACCCTGGCGTGCCGCCGGGCATGCCTGCCGCGCCAAGCCTGCAAACGCAAATCCCGGAATCAGCGGGCGGCCCGCTGGGCGTTCCTGGATCTTCTTCGACATGTTTTGTCAATGCGAGGTCCTGGTTCTGTAGCTTCGCATTCTGGCCCGTCAAAGACTTCCTCGTTGTTTTCCCCCCCCTTGTTCGAGCCGCCAAGGGAGGGCGGCGGCGATCCGCGGGGTCCACGGGCGGCTCCACCGGGTCCGGCCGGTCCTCATAGAGGGGCCCGCTGTCGAACATCCTCTGGCAGGCCTCGGCCATGCAGCGCCGTTGGCTGTTTCGCCCCCTCCGCCTTGTCCTCATTTTCCTCGTCGTCCTCCTCCGCCTCCCCCCTTCCCCCCCTCCTCTTCGTTTTCCTCGTTTTCCTTGTTTTCCTCGTTTTCCTAGTTTTCCTTGTTTTCCTCGTTTTGATCCTCCTCCTCCTCCTCCCCCTCCTCCTCCTCCTCCTTCTCCTCCTCCTCCTCCTCTTCCCCCTCGTCCTCCTCGTCGTCCTCCTCGTCCTCGTCCTCCTCCTCCTCCTCCTCCTCCTCCTCTTCCTCTTCCTCCTCCTCCTCCTCCTCCTCCTCCCCTCGTCCTCGTCCTCCTCCTCCTCCTCCTCCTCCTCCTCCTCCTCCTCCTCCTGTTCCTCCTCCTGTTCCTGTTCCTCCTTTTCCTCCTCCTTCTCCTCCTCGTCCTCCTCCTCTTCCTCCTCCCCCTCCCCCTCGTCCTCCCCGTCGTCGCCCCCGTCTTTCTCGCCCTCCACCTCTCCTCGTTCTCCTCGCCTTCGCCCCCGTCGTCGCCCCCCGTCGTCGTCGTCGTCGCCGCCGCCGTCGTCGTCGCCGCCGCCGTCGTCGCCGCCGCCGTCGTCGTCATCGTCGTCGGTCGTCGGTCGTCGTCGTCGTCGTCGTCGTCGTCGTCGTCGTCGGTCGTCGTCGTCGTCGTCGTCGTCGTCGTCGTCGTCATCGTCGTCGTCGTCGTCGTCCTCCTCCTCCTCCTCCTCCTCTTCCTCCTCCCCCTCCTCCTCATGTTCCTCCTCCTCTTCGCGGGGCGAGTGCGCGGATGGAGCTGGCCTGCTTCTCTTGCGCCAACTGCCTGCGGATGTGCCCTAAGTACACCGCCGCCCGCCTCTCCAGGTCGGCGAGGCTTCTCGCCTTCCCGGCAGGTCCGCAAAACTCTCTCGCCCTCTCCTCGCCGAGTGTTCCGCTCTCTTCGGTGTTCCCGTTCGTTTTGGTTCTTTAATCCTGTCCGGGGTCTTTCTTTATGTTTGTTTCTGCGTTTCCTCCTCGCCCCCCCCCCCCAAAGAAGTGGTAGGAGTTTTTGTCAAGGAGGCCAACGAATCTTGAGCCAAACGGCGTCGGGCCGACGCACGCCCGACCCCGTGACAGATCAGTTCCCCGAGCAGAGAAGGCGATTGCAAAATCCACGGGTCGGTTTCACCAAGTCGCTACGCTATGTATCAACAACCCTCGGTTTATTTAGCCGACCAGAAAAGCGGGGGCTAAGAAACCATCGCAAATTTGAGCAGTCAGCGGCCGGGCATTTAACCCAGCAGGGCAAGTCGACTGTGTAATAGAAGCCGTTCGCGCTTGGCACAAGCGCCAGGCTACGAAGATTTAGGCGCAGAGGTGCAGGGGCCTCCTAATTCACCATGGACGCTCTGAAGGGTCGCAGACTGCCGGCCCACGCAGAATGTGACACATTTTCTGTAGCATACGTAAACGAGCACCTGAATTTCAACAGGTCCTTAGCTCAAATATCCGGACCAACGGCGCGCGATGGTAGCCCCAACACGGATTAAGCTAAGGTAGCAGGTGATAGCTCGTGTCTTCCGCGAATTCAATGCTGAGTGGTACCTCGCATACGCGTGGGAATACCGTCCCTGCTTTCAGAATCAGCCAATGCACCTGCGTCTTGCTCATGGGTTCCTACCTTGGTAACTTTGATGTCTCCTCGTCGTACCTTCTCTTGCAACCCAAACTGGCGAACCTCGGTGTGTCTGACTTTTCCTGGCCCTCGCTGATTTGCGATAGCAACGGCCGCATTGGCACCGCTCTTCAACTAGATGCTGCCATCAACGTTACAGTATTTGAGAGTTGCTTGCGGTCCTGGTGCTACTGGTCCGCTTGCCGCCACTCAGCAACACGGTGCTTATCTGGAAGATAACGCCACCACGCTCAGTCGGATTCCACAACTTGATCACATGTGGTCCCCACATATCTTCTCTTCCGCGCGATGATTTACGCGCTTCCTGCATCTGGCATAGTCGGTGTTACTCCACTCCGTGAACTTCTTGATGCGCTCCCGATGCAAGTGCTGATTCCCGCGCCGGTCGTAGTTCTTGAAATACTTGCCATGTTGCGTACGGCTTTCCCGCGCCCCTCGGGTTGGAGCTGGCGCAGAGCGCGCCAGCCCCTTAACTGAGAGCTTCATGTCTGCGCGGTGATGCGCAAGATATTCGGCTCGGGGCATCGAAGCAATATACTTCTTAGGCCCATGACTTGCAGGCGGCCCCTCGCCCTCGTCCTCGCGCGCTTGATCCACCCCTGTAATCCCGCATCTCGCGCTGAGGTGGTCCAAGCCAACTTCCTCGACGAAGCGTCGCCGCGTGCCCCTGCTATGCCTCCTGCCAGAAGCCGCCCTGGATCCATTCTGCAATTCGGTTGGGCACCCTGACCAACTTCAAATATTGCGGCCCTGGTCAAAGCCTGCCCCAGATTAAGCATCGGATTTCTTTGCGAGCTCTCCCTCGAACCAATCGAGATCAGCATCGCTACCCACTGCAATCGCACCATCCCCATGCACCGTTCGCCATATTCGCCTCGTCTCGTGCCCCAGCGCACATGGCGACGCCTTTCCCTTGCCTGAACCACTGTCATGCGAAGTCCACATACCAGCCCTCCTAATTACTGGCGGCGCCCCGAGTGACATGCGCTGGCAAGCAGTTTTCTGGTCGTGCCTGGTCCGCGGCCTTCTTCTGATAACCGAATGGAGGTGGTCTTTCTGCGTTGGCGTAAAAAATATGCCCGCGTCGCAACAAGAAAACTAAGCTTGGGCCCCTTCTCGTGACCGCCGCGGCCATGCCCTGCGCTTTCGCTAACAACCTTAGAGAACAATAGTTCTTGAGTTTCCAATGTGAAAATGTCTGCACCCGTGTTCTTCCCCTTCGGAAATGCACGTGGCTCGCCGTGCCGCCAGCCGGAATCCGGACTCGGGATTGACCTAGTCAAGCCCGTTGGTGTCGATCCACCTCGCGCCGAGTGGCGCCGCGCCGGCAGCCGCCAAGCACTCCTGCCCCCTTACCTTCTCATAGACCTCTTCCTTCCTGAATTGCGCCACCTCCCCACTGCGAGCCCTTTTTTCTCGAACTCAATCTCTGATGCGTCATCCCGCGCCCGTGTTGCCATCTTAGCGGTGGCCCACGTTGATGTCCTCCTGTTTAGCTGGCTGCGCTTCATCGACGCCCGCATGCCTCGCCTGGTCCTGGCACTGCAAGTCAGCCCTTGCGTCGGCGTGCTCCGCGGAGCTACTGTTTCGCCCGGGTGCGGGTGGCCCGATGGATGAATTCGGCCGCGATATTGCCCGATCCCCCTCTGAACACTCTCCACCTCTCCTTTCCCCTGATCCCGTTGACCTCTCTGTCCTCGAGCGCTCGGCCAGCGCCCGAGCCCCGAGTGGCCCCGCGCGCGCGCGAACTCCATGTCGGCCGCGAACTTCCTGGAAACATTAAGGGAGATGTGCCACATGCTAACGCAATCCCGCGACCCATCTAACTTCGCCCATGCCCGATCTCATCGAGTTCCACGCTCTCGTCCGGCTCACTTCCACTAACTGCCGGGTAACAAGCTCTGGAGGAGCACCATGATCGGTCACCGGCAGCCGCGTGGTTAACCGCGCCTTCAAGTATAGCTCGACAGATCGATCAGGGCATGCATATGCTCTCCTCGTTCTGCCTCCCCCCGTTATAGCGCTGCGCCGATGCTGACCACGACGCGCCGCGCTAGCGGCCCTTGCGATTTAGGGGAAGTTGGTCCTGGACCGCGAGGGTTCCCACGCAAGCACCCCCTCTCCTTTTTCGACCTGGCTCAGGTCATAACAACATATCGCCATCGTACGTCTGCGCATCTCCGCGCATTGAGCTGCATTGGCGTCGCGGTCCAACTTGATGCCCCCCCGGGCTATCCAAATAAGAAGTGACCCCTTGCTCCTCCGAGTCTCACGGAGTTCCAGCGCAAACCTGAAGCGCAGAACACCGCAGTCAAGATATTTTCTCACTTTCTCCAGCCCCAGGTCTCCAGCCTGCTGAATGCGCCGTGCGGTAGACTCACTACTTAGAAGAATGGTGTATTGCCCTTGCGAATATCTTCGCTTTTGCTTGCGCCACCTCGAAGATAATGGTAAACTGCTGTATCCCATATAGATGGCAAGACGATAGTATCCAGGGCTGAAGCCGGTGTGGGTTAAATTGTAGCAGCCGCGTCAGTGACCCGAACTGGCGACTAAAACAAGACAGCACGCGCCTGTGCATCACGCTGACCTGTGCGGCGCAACCATCATGCCTTCCTGATCCCATACAATTTATCGGATGTCTAGATCACTTCACGACATCCGTGTCGAATCCCGTCAAATTTGACCAGGCGCTCTTCGCTGTCCTCTCTTCATTATATGCTGCCCTTCGCTCTCCTCATCGGGTGCCTGTTCTTCAATGATTCCGTCATCGAGGTCTTAGCTCCCTCCGATTCCTGTATCTTCCTGTTGCATCCGTCTGTCCGCGCCCACATCATATTTGACTTTCCTCGTCCTCTCGCCGCGCGCCGTCATCGTTCAAATTGTCGCTCGCATCCTGGGCGCCGTCCGTTTCAAGAACAATAGTCCCAGTGCCCCAAAGAGCGTGCGTTCTGGCTCTGGGCTCGCGACGTCGACGACTGGCGAAACCGTGCGCAACGACCCCGACGTCTGATGACGGATCCCCACCCACTCTTGTCCTGCTGGGCACTGTCGGATTCCATCCCCGGCCGAGCTGCGGAACATCTCTCCCGCATTTTCGGGTCGTTCTGTCCATCGACATATTCGATGACACATTCACGGCGTTCCGCGCTGCGGGGTGCGAATGTCTCCTCTGGCTGCTGCCTTGCATCCATGACGCCCCAGCGTCGGTTTAACTTGTCGATGAGCATGCGCTAAGAACCAACAAGTACGCGCGTGCTCTTCTCAAAGGTCAATGCTCAATTTGCGGGCAAAAGGATTCTGCAACGCTCGCATGTAGCCCTTCGCTGTTCTGATTGCCCTTTCGACTTCACCAGCTACCTGCGATGGCCCGGCCAGATTAACGGCTACCCGCGCGCTGAGGTCACGCGAAGCCATGACAGTGTCCTCGAGGGCCGCAGGGGTTCCCCCCCGCCACGCTCGAGGGCCTCTCTACTGCGGTCAGTGAAATCATAACATAGAACACCTTGGCCGATTGCGGATCCGCCCCCTGAGGCCCTCAGCAGCTAAACACGACCACCGGTTAAGTCTGTCCTGGCAATGCGTGACGATGTTTGTGTTTCCTCTGCCTTCGACCTCGCTGACTCCACTCTTCACGCTTAACCGCGCGTAGTCTACTGGGATCACCGGCGTAGCTTGCCCTGGCGTCCATGTGTTTTGCGCGCCCCCCCCCGGCGCTTCCTCCGACTCAGTGGGGGGCTCCAGCTTCGGCGGGGCAGATGAGTTGCGTCGCGCAACCGAACTTCTACCTGGCTTGGCCCCAGGTCACGCGTGATCCTCCCAGGGCCTTCTGTCCCCTCGCACACTGCCGACCGAAGTCCATGATGGCTCGGACTCAATGGAACGGGCTAGCCATGGGAGTTCCCTGCCCGCGAAAACCCTCGCATCTCACGCCCCATTAATTCCCTCAGCTGTCCTCTCCCTCTCTGCGCCCGCAACCGGCCCGCGCGGTGGACTAGAAGCTGCCGCTCTTCTCGCGAATCGCCATCTTCTGTCTCCGCGCCGCGTGCTCGAAGTCGCCGCGAGATCGCCCGTCATCGCCTCGATCAATCGCGACGCAGCCCCCTGCCTCGACCATCTCGCGCGCGGGCCCGATCGCCTTCAGACGCTGGCCACTTAGACAGGCGCACTCGCCATGGGGCCCACGTCTGTTCGTTCCCCCGTGAAAACTCCCCGCCCATGGTTCCTGATGACTGACCCAGTCGCAGCACTGTCGCGCTACCCGTCCTCGGATGCCTCCGCGGGTTCAGAACGGATGTGGGCCCCCGCGCTGGGAAGCCCAAGATTGTTGTGGGCCCCTGGGCCAAGAGCAGCAGCAACCGCCTCCATCCCGCTGCCCCGGTCTCGCACTGGCACTTCGTTGACTTCCTGGCTGGGCCCCGCCAACTCAACTAGCTGTTGCTCGGCGTATTTATGCGCCCAACTCTGCTCCTGCTTCGTGGGCCCCGTGACTCGGTGATCCAAGTTGGCGCCGCGGCCGCCGGTAAACCCGCGCGCGGGCAATGCGTGCTTGCTCTTGATGCTTGACCTGGCCTCCCTGTTCCTCCTCTTCGTCGCCCAGTGCTGGATCTTCCATTCCGGTGCCCCTTTAACCGGCCTCGGCTCTCCGATGTCGTCGGTCACCTTGCCTTTCTTGGGGGCCTCGCCAGTGTCGACGCTGTAGCACCCCAGTCCAGGCGCGGGTTGCGACGCGGCCGTTCTCGCCGCAGTTGTAGCGCCCCCTCTCGCTGATTGGCGCGATCCCCCACCTCCGCCTGTCCAGACTGGGGCTTGTTTCTCTGGCATCCACCCTTGGGACCCCCCCTGCGGCGCCCGCTTGCATGGCCCCCCCTGCGCCGACTTCATTCGCGCCGCCGTTTCCGTTCTCAAGCAATCCTGCTGCCAGTCGACAAACCAATCACCTGCGCGGGTCATGATGGTCCTCGGGGCAATGAGCCTGCACCATTCCAGGGGCTCTGCCAGCGCGCTCCACCGGCCGAGCTGGGCCGCCGCCCCCCCACTTTTTTTTCCGAGTTCATGGCCGCGCTCGCGCGTGAGAGCTTCAAGTCTGCAGCGACCGGCTACCGTTTGCACGCTCTCTGGTCAGCAATTTGACCGCCTCCTCCACGCGAGCCCTTCAAATGCCCGCGAGGCCTCGCCCCTTGCAACTTGTCGTTCGTGAGGCCAGAGTCCTCCGTCGCCCCGCAGTGCGCTGTCGTTATCGTCGAGGTCATGTTGTCTGCCAGAATCGTTTTCTTTTCCTCTTGTCAGTGGGGCCTTGGTGTATCCCCTTAGGGTTAACCTTCTCTGCGTCATCATTATACAGCCATCCTTTCGTCATCGGGTAGAGCACCAGTCATGGCCTCAAAACTGCTGCTCGAATCAGTCAGGGCCCCCGGATAACCGCGCCTCGCCGGGGCGAGCGCGCTCGACGACTTCGCGCTCCAATCCCAAAAATTAGCTTGGCCACCCGAGAAATATTTAGATGATCTGGAGTTCGCTAGCGGGTTTGATGCCGCCCCCCACAGCCGTCGTACTTCGCGCGGACTGTGTAGCCTCGGCGATCTTGGCTACGTGCTCGGAGGCGTTCGCTCGGCGTTTGAGTTCTGTCTTAGCGTGATCTCTCAAATTGTTGAACTGCCCATCGCATGGCACGTTGCGGCGGATGGCCGACATCGGAAGACGTCCCCGTAGCCCGCATGGCATAATTCCGCGAATCGGGTAGCGGACAACTTGTGCAACGCTTTCGGCCCCATAGGGAGCTCCACCAAAGGCCCCAGTGGCAGGGTTCGCACGGCGCCACCGCATCATTTCGGCGCACCCCTCACGCGTCTCGTGGCCCCATAGGGAGCTCCACTGCAGGCCCCAGTGGCGGGGTTCGCATGGCTCCACCGCGCCCGCGTCGGCACATCCCTCACGCGCCTCGTGGCCCCATAGGGAGCTCCACCGAAGACCCCATTGGCAGGGCCCGCATGGAGCCACCGCACTAATTTCGGCACATCCCTCACGCGTCTCGTGGCCCCATATGGAGCTCCACTGCGGGCCCCAGTGGCAGGGTTCGCATGGCGCCGCCGCGCTCATTTCGGCACATCCCTCACGCGTCTCGCGGCCCCATAAGGAGCACCACTGCAGGCCCCAGTGGCAGGGTTCGCATGGCTCCACCGCGCCCATTTCGGCACACTCCTCACACGCGTCGTGGCCCCATAGGGAGCTCCACCGAAGGCCCCAGTGGCGCGGTTCGCATGGTGCCACCGCACCCATTCTGGCACATCCCTCACACGTTTCGCGGTCCCGTGGGGAGTTCCACCGAAGGCCGCAACCGCAAGGTTCGCATGGCGCCACCGCACCCATGTCGGCACAGGTTCGCATGGCGCCACCGCGCCCATTTCGACACACTGGTCACACGTCTCGTGGGCCCATAAGAGGGGGGCTCCGCAGGCTCCAGTGGCAAGGTTCGCATGGCGCCACCGCATTGTTTCCGGCGCATCCCTCGCGCGCTTCGTGACCCCATAGGGAGCTCCACCGAAGACCCCAGTGGCAGGGCCCGCATGGCGCCACCGCGCCCATTTCGGCACATCCCTCACGCGTCTCGTGGCCCCACAAGGAGTTCCACCCAAAGCCCCAGCGGCAGGGTTCGCATGGCGCCGCCGAGCCTATTTCGGCACACCCCTCACACGTTTCGTGGCCGTGTAAGGAGCTCCACCGAAGGCTCCGATGGCAGGGTTCGCGTGGCGCCACCGCGCCCATGTCGGCACACCCCTCACACGCTTCGAGGCCCCAAAGGGAGCTCCACCGAAGGCCCCAGTGGCACGGTTCGCATGGCGCCACCGCACCCATTTCGGCACACCCCTCACACGTTTCGCGGTCCCGTGGGGAGTCCCACCGAGGGCCGCAATCGCAGGGTTCGCATGGCGCCACCGCACCCATTCTGGCACATCCCTCACACGCTTCGTGGCCCCATAAGAGGGGGCTCCACAGGCCCCAGTGGCACGGTTCGCATGGCGCCACCGCGTTGGTTTCGGCACATCCTTCACGCGTTTCGTGACCCCACAGGGAGCTCCACCGAAGGCCCCAGTGGCAGGGTTCGCATGGCGAGTGGCCCCAGTGGGAGTTCCATCGAAGGCTCCTGTGGCAGGGTTCGCATGGCGCCACCGCAACCAGTCCGGCACATCCCTCACACGTTTCGCGGTCCCGTGGGGAGTTCCACCGAAGGCCGCAATCGCAGGGTTCGTATGGCGCCACCGCACCCATTTCGGCACACTGGTCACACGCTTCGTGGCCCCATAAGAGGGGGCCCCGCAGGCCCCAGTGCATGGCGCCACCGCATTCGTTTCGGCGCATCCGTCACGCGTTTCGTGACCCCACAGGGAGCTCCACCGAAGGCGGGGCTCACATCTGCGGTACTCACAGTTGCATGTGGCTGGGTCTTTCGCCAAGATAATTTCCTTTCAGGGAACTGACTTGTGCCAGGTTTGACAACGCGTCGACCGACGTCGTTTGGCTCGTGCTTCGTTCGTCTCCAGGGAAAAAACCTCCGGCCAAATTTTCATGATAGCGGAGCCCGTGTTTCGCCCCACAGGTCCCATTGGGCGCGGTTCGCTCCGCGGAGCACCAGCCTCCATGCGACGGCTGGGGCAGCGGCTGCCCCAGCTTCGCAAAACCTTGGCACGGCCAACCCGGTCTTCGACGGGGCGCAACCTGAAGTGCGTGTGAGTAAGGGATGGGAGGAGAGGGAGGAGCACGGGAGGTGTGGTGAGGTGAGGAAGGCGGGGCGCGGTCTCTTCAAAACGAAGCCCAACACCAAAAAATGCTTTGGAAATGCATCTACAAATTTCTGGGACCGGCCTAACCCACTCGCAACGCTATACATTTACGCCTTCTCCTCTTCCTCCTCTTCCTACCCCCCTCCTCCTCCTTTTTTTCGCTGTTGTTTATTATCTTCCTCATCCTCCCCATTCTCCCCTTCCACTCCTCCTAACAAGGTCACCTCAAGTTGCGGCCACAACTCGAAGACACCGTGGGGTATTGGGGCTTCCAGCTTCCAGTAGGCTTTCGGAGCAGGAGAGGGACAAGGAATGAGGACGACGAGGGAGGAGGGAGAAGGCCTCCGGAGGAGGAAGGGCAGGGGACCAGGAGGGAGGAGGCGGAGGAGGGAGAAAGACCAGGAGGGAGGAAGACGAGGAGGGAGGAGGAGGAGGAGGAGGAGGAGGAGGAGGAGGAGGAGAAGGAGGAGGAGGAGGTGAAGGAGGAGGAGAAGGAGAAGGAGAAGGAGGAGGAGGAGGAGGAGGAGTAGGAGGAGAAGGAGGAGGAGGAGTAGGAGGAGGAGGGAGCCTGCATTCGGAGGAGGAGGAAGAGGAGGAGGAGGAGGAGGAGGAGGAGGAGGAGGGAGCTTGCGTTCGGAGGAGGAGGAGGAGGACGAGGAGGAGGAGGGAGGACCAAGAGACGGGAGGAGGAGGAGGGAGGACCAGGAGCCGGGAGGAGCAGGCGGAGAGAGAACGACGAGGAGAGAGACGGAGGGAGTACGCGGACTTTCGCAGGAAGAGGGAGGAGGACGAGGGAGGAGCAAACACGCGGCGGAGAGCCCGGCGCCAGGGCGGCGGCTCGCGCCCCGCCTCGGCCTCGCCGCCAGCGCCCTCGCCGCTGGGGTCCTCTCGCGAGGCCCTGACGCTGCGCAGCGCCTGCCCGCCGCCCCCGCGCGGCGATCGATCGCGGGGCGGCGAAGGCTCCCCCCGAAATCGCCCGGGCACTCCCCCGGCAGCCGACGGTGTCTCACGAGACCTCGGGGAACCCCAAAAAACAGGGACGCCCCCAACGCAAGAGCTTCCTGCTCGTCCTCCTCATCCTCATCCTCTTCCTCCTCCTCCTCCTCCAACGCGGCGTGGCGTCTTCTCGAGATCGTTCCTGGAGAGATCCACCTCCAGGGCTTCCTCGAAGCATGGCCCAAAGCGAGATGCTGGCAGCTGAAAACCTTGGCAACTGTGTCTGTCACGTCTGTGGCCGCAGCACCCACTAGGAGCCACGGGTGCCCCCATCCCCATGGATAGAGATCCCCGTAAACCAAATGGCAAGGTTGATATTGAATCTAAACATTTCTGGTAACGGTCGTTACCCAAAGGGGGTTAGGGCCCCGGGCAACGGTAACGCTTGGGATGGGTGGGACACGTCGGGACGGGCGCGTGCTGCGATCACCATAATACGTGCGCGAACACAAGCATGTGGGGAGGGAAGCAGCCCCCCTGCCTACTACGCAACCCAAGAGACGGGGATTGGCCCAAACAGCGATCGTTCAGCGCGGGGGGGGAGAGAAAACAACCGTTACGCGCCAGAAGATAAACAAAAACATTATCATTGTTGCTGGCTTTCGGCTGGCCTCCTGGGGCCTGTCATCGGGCCCTGGGGCCATCAAGAATGCATCTGGCACGAAGGGCTGCCCCCAGAGGAACGGGTCGTGACATTTCAAACGTGGGGGCGGCTGTTCGAGAGCATCCCGAGGCTGGAAAACATCGCGATGCTGGAACGCCGACGAGAACCGACGAACACGCCAGAAAACCATAACCTCGAACCCCTTTCGACCACGAGCCTCGAACCTCGAACAACGAACTGTGTCAAAAAACCGGCATTGGCCGCCGTCAGGCAAGCGACGTCTGCCACAAATTGGACAGCGTCCGCAGCGGCACCAGCAGCGCATGCCCCCGCCCGCGGCACGGCGCTCGTCGTCCGTCATCGCCCGTTGTCGCCGTCGGACGTGGGGCGTCGGTCGTCGCCCGTCGTCTGACGACCGTCGTTGTCGTCGCCATGGTCGTCGCGTCGTCGTCGTCTTGGTCGTCGTCGTCGGTCTATAACAGTTGCCGATCGCGGGGAAGGGGATGCCCCCCAAACCTGGGAACTCTGGCGGAGCGCAGATGGGAAGGGCGCGAGGGGGGCGGCGTTCCAAGAAATCTCCTTGTGAACTGAGGAAGGCTTCCAAGAGGCCCCTGCCTTCTTACAACCCCTCCAGATTCCCAGGACAAGCACAGACGTCAAGAGGTATGTGCGTATTTTTTTTGGGTCGGCGCAAAACCCACTGTGGCGAAGTCCCTACCGCCGCCCTTGCCGCGATTCGAGCGACAAGGCAAAAAGGACCTTAGAAAATGCATGTTCGTGAAGCGTTCCCCAAAACGTTGCTTGCACGTCGGGTTTCGTATTTGTCCTTCTCAAATCATTTGTTGAGGGTTCCGGGTTTTCGGCTGTTGCCCTGCCCGCCCGTGGGCGCTTCGTGGGCGCTCTGCAGTTGGAGAGAACGCAGAATTTCGGCAACGCAACAGAACCCATGTCACCTTGAAAGTTCAACCGGCCACCGCAATGAGTTGTTCCCTTGCGTTCCCAGGCCAAAGCGTCTACGATGCTATCCATGTGCAATACACAGTGCTGCACGCACGAGCGAATGTGACCATGATCACCCGCGCGGGCCCTCGCGCTGAGGGGGATCTGTATTGTTTATGTTCACGCATACAACAAACATGATGTGAACTCCGAAGTCCAACGGGCCAACGCACAGGGTTCAATTGTGCTCCTTGGCCAGCATGGCGATTGTTCCATGCTGGGCAGTACTCAATGCTCCACGCGCGCACGCGCGCGGGTGACCATGGTCACGCGCGCGCCTCCGCGCACGTGGGGCCTTCTATCGCGGCGCGCAAAGTAGAGCACATCCAACACGCCCTTTGAGAACTCAGAGACCCAAGCGACCCCAACTAAGGGTTCACCTGACTGCCCCAGCCAACGCGGCTACTTTTCTATCCTGGACAATACACAATGCTCCACGCGCACGCGCGCGTAAGGCCACCTGCAATGTCCAGGACGCCGAACCCATGTCAACTCGGGGCTCCAACCAGCCACCGCTCAGGATGCACTCGAGCTGCAAGGCCAACGTGGCGAGTTTCCTGGTCTGGACAAGAGAATGACCCGCGCGTCAGCTGCCCACTGTTCCGCGCAGCGCTCGGCGCGCGACCCCGCGCAGGCGGAACCGCCAAAAGGCCGCTCGGGGCGGCTCTGCGGGGCGGCCGCGACATTGCGGCAGGCGCTCGCAGGGGAGCGCAATGGCATTTCCACGCGGCGCCCACGCTTCGAGGCGGCCCTGCGACAGTCTGAGGCACGCGGCCTCGTGCGCGCGGGGGCACGCAAAAACCGCGCGCGGTGGCCTCGCTGCCTTCTGGGGCGGCCGCTAATGTGCGGCCGGCCGTTCTGCAGGAACCGCTTTCGAACCTTCGCGCTTGTGGAATAAAAAGGTTCCGCGTGGCTAGACCACACCGGCCTTTTTGAGGCGTGAGTGGTTTAGCGAGCTTCCTCTTCCAACCCCCGTTCGCCCGTTTCGGGACCACCCCCGCCCCTGGACCTGGACGGGGCCTTTCGCAAGGGGTTGGAACGCCTGAGATGGCCTCGGCGACATGGCAAGCATCATTGGTTGCAACAGAGTTTCGGCCACATTTCGACCTCCATGTGGGGGGGAACTGGAACTCCCCCGTCTTTGATCGATCACCTCCTGGATGGCCCCAATATGGCCCCCGGGGCCGCAGAGAGCCCCAACACGGCCCTAAGAGGCGTTCGCGAGGCCCCAGCCAACAGGCCCCACCGATGCCTCCAAGATGCGCCCAAGAGACCCCGAAGGGGCACCAAGAGGCCCCCTTAGATGCGCTCAGGGAGCCCCAAGTGAACGCCCCGACAATCGAGAGACCCCCGAGAGGCCCCCAAAAACCTCCCGAAAGGCATCCGGAAAAAAAGGCATAGGGCGTTTCTGATCCAGGCGTTCGTTATTCTTTTTCTTCGGGGAGCGGCCCTCCTCTCCCCCCACCCCCTGACCCGTGGGTCTGGGCGAAGGCGGGGGGGGAAGGGGCAAACGGCTCGAGGAATTAGAACACCCCAAATCGCACCAAATAGCCTCACCAGGTCCCCCAACAAAAAGAAACTTACCTCCATCATGTCGAAATTCATTTTCAAGGTACCCCCAAAATGGCCTCCGATATGCACCTGGGAAGCGTTGAGATCGCCCCCGAACGGCTCTGGTCGGCCACGGGGCCTCCCGAGGGGACGCCCACGATCGCCATGATGTTCGCACGATCGCTATTCCGCTACTGGTGAGCTTCTGAGCCTTCGACGCGGCTACGATGTGGCCCAAGAAAGCTCCAAGAAGGACCCGCGAGGGCTTCGAGACGGCCCAAACGCGCCACAGTGCACGACTTTGGGGGTTCTAGAAGGGTAGCGATGTTCGAAGGCGCCCCCTCATATTTGATCGACACCCCCAAGAAACCCTGCCCCCGAATCCCAAGGGGGCCAACGACGGCCCCATAAGAACGCTGAATGCTCCCAACATCCGAACATCACCCCAAGCAGCCCCCAGGGGCCACCGGCGTGACAATGAGAAGGCCCCGCGAACGACAGAAAGAGCCTGCAGGATAATCCAAGAAATAATGACACCAACAAAATCAGTGATGGTTGACAGCTGCTGTCGTCGCCGTCGCATCCTTCCTCCCACATAGTCCTCCTCTTCTTCACCATCCCCCTGTCCACTTTCTCAACGTCGTCGTCATCCTGTTCCTATTGTTCCTCCCCCTCCTGCTCCCACCTCCTCCCTCCCATTCCCCCGCCCCGCCCCCCGCGTTCATCCTCCTTCCCTGTGGCCATTTTGGCTCCAGCCTTTTCCTCGTGCCCACCTGGTGGAGCAGCGTGCAAAGCGCGCTCGCGGGGCTAGGTATTCCCTTTCAGCGAGCTCCTGGCGCAGCCATGTCTCCCCCCCGCCCCCAAGCTGTTGCTGATCCGCGGTCTCGCGGGCGGCGCCTGAGATCGGCGGTGGACAAACCTCCCTTTAACAAACCTCCCTTTTAATGAGAGCGGCCCGGGACCGAAACCGACGGACCTGGACCCGCAAAAATGACGGCCGCGACGCCCTCTCGCGAACCGAAAACGGCCAATTCGCTGATCGACGTGTCAGGGCAGGAGGTCTGTCCACCCCCGATGAGAACGGCGCATCGCATTCCTTCGGCGCGGCCGCGGTGGCGGCGCCCGCAGCTCGGATCCGGCGACGGCGCCGCTCGCTGCGCCCAGCGCCGCTGGGGCGCCCGCCGTCGGCGAGCCCGCTGAGAGCGCGCGAAGCGCTGCGCGCGCTCCCCGCGCCGATCCCGAACGTGGCGGCCAGAACGCCCCGAAACCCGCGGGGCAGAAGAACGAGGAACACGGGCATGGCGGAAACGGGCCACGGCCACAAAGAGGGCGGCGTTTGTGGATGTGCGGGGCAAAACTGAAAACACAAAATCCTGAATCTGCAGGGCCGGTGGCGGTGTTCCGGAGGGTGCTCGTCGAAGTGCTACTGCTGCGCGCAAACCCAGTCGCAGCGCCGCGCCATCAACTCCACGATGATATTGCGACTGCGCATTGCACAAACCACATCGCCACATAAGGACGCCTCGGTTTGAACGTGATAGCACGCGCTGCCGGCAACGGTGGTGCCACGCGGCGTAGCATGTTTTCCACCAGAGTGTATTGGATGTTCGATTCGCCAACGTGCAGAAGACGATGGACATACTATCATCGTATCAATTTTAGCATGGCACGACAAGTCGTCACCGGGCTATTTGTTTGACTATTTGGGGATATTATTCCCTCAGGGGGATCTGCCCGATTCTCGCGTAGAAACGATCGGGCGTCGCCGACCGGTCGGCAATAGGACCTCGACGCAGCGAGGCCAGACGCTCCTGGGCGTAGTGGAGCGCCTTGGCCCCGATCGGTGGCGGTGAGTGTGCGATTTTTTTGAGCCGGAGTAGTCGAGGCGCAGATGGGTCCGCGGAGAGGTGTGCAATAGTACTTACAATACATAGTTGGCGCCTGGATGCAATAGCTTGCGCGAAGGATGAAATAGTTGCGCGTGGATACAGTTGTGCATCATTTCTTACACGCAGCAGCTGTCGCCCGTGCAGGTAGTTCGCGCACCCCGCAATAATAGCCCACGGCTGCACGTGACAGCGCGCAAATCATGAGCGATTGCACTTCTCGCCGTCGACCCATCTGCGCCAGACCCACCACTCCAGCTTAGAGATTTCGGGGTCGATGGCCCCCCATGCCCTGAGCCAGCCCTCTCCCGTCGCTGCCCCTGGGGCCGCCTAGGGCCGAAGCGCATGGGAGCCCGCGTCCGGTGCTCGGGGCTGCTTCTGGTGGAGCGCTCGAGGGAACATGATGTCCGCCCGAGAATGGGGGGAGTTGTGCGGAGCGGCACCGGCAGAAAGAGAAGGAGGATCCACACCTTGTGAACAAGGCGCCGAACATCCTAGCACATTGGGGCCCTCATCAGGTCCGTCACTTACTCGACGCGGATATCCCCATATGTGCATCTCATTTCCTGGCACGTTCCGTTGTGAGTGTCTGGCTGTGAGCGTCTGGCTGCGAGAGTGAGCAAAAGTGTCCGACAGGTACGACGACGATGGCGACGACGACTCACAAAGAGGGAGTAAGCAGGTCCCTCCCCCATTCTTCCTCTTCCTCCTCGTCTTACCCCGTCCCTACTTTCCCTCCTTCCTTCCGTTTCCCTCTTCCTGGGTCCTCCTCCGTCCTCTTTCATCCTCACTGGCGGCCGTCGTTCTCCCTCCTGCTGCGTCCTCCTCCTTCCTCCTCCTCCTCGTCCTCCCTCCTCCTCCGTCCTCCGTGTTCCTCCCTGGCAAGTGCCCCCCCTTTCTGGCGGCCCCCTCCCTTCTCCTTCCTCTTCCTCCTCGCCGTGGCCCCATTCGCTCTCTTCCTCCCTCCTCCCTTCTCTTGCGCCCTCCGAATTATTCCTCCGTCCTCCCTGCTCCTCCCTGGCGGCGGTCGTTTTTCCCACATTCACGTGATCATGGCGCTCTGCATGGACAGGAGCCCGAAGTGCAAAACAAGCGCCTCGCTCGAGACGTCCCCACAATCTGGCATCAAACGGGCAAGTGGCCTACCCCTCGGCGGCTCCCCCTTCTAGGGGGTTAAGCCAGCGCTTCGCTTGAGACGTCTTCGGCATCTGCTCCCTGGCGCCTGCTCCTTGGGGTGCTGGAGCCAGCGCGCTCCCCCACGACATCCTCGCAACCTGCCCCTAAAACCAAAAGTATAGGCGGGCCAAGACAAGCACGCCGCTCGAGGGATCCAAGCAGTCTGGGCGCGAAGAGGCCCAGGGCGCCCCCCCCCCCCCCCCCCCCCCCCCCCTGGCGTGCTAATTCGAAGGATTTGTTGTGGAACTCGCGTCGTCCTCCCCCCCGACGCGCGAAAGAGGTCAGGCTTCGCCGCGCCCCCATGGACCGTTTCCGGGGAGCGCGCCGGGCGTGTCCCAGCACGGCTCTCTCTCTCTCTCTCCCTTCCCTCTCTCTCTCTCTCTCTCTCTCTCTCTAGAGAGGGAGAGAGAGAGAGAGAGAGAGAAAAAAAAGAGAGAGAGAGAGAGAGACACATCCTCGCGAAAACGACCCCATGCGTGCGAGGAGGTCAGGCCCCGCCGCGCCTCCAGGGACCATTTCCGGCTTTCCGGGGCGCGCGCCAGGGCGCAGGGAGCGTGTCCCAGCAGGGCTCTCGCTCGAGACGAACTCGCAAAGTCGACGCCAGGCGCGCGAGGAGGTCAGGCCCCGCGGAGCCCCCAGGGACCATTTCCGGGGCGCGCGCCAGGGCGCACTGGGCGCGTCCCAGCCCAAGGCTCTCGCTCGCGGCATCCTCGCAACGTCGACCCGCGGCGCGCTGAGTCGCCCCATGCCCGACATTGGGAGGAGGAGGAGGAGGAGGAGGAGGAGGAGGAGGAGGAGGAGGAGGAGGAGGAGAGGAGGAGGGAGGAGGAGGAGGATCGTTGCGGAAGGACATTGGGCGGAAGGGGGGGGGAGGGGGGGGGGAGGAGGAGGAGGAGGAGGAGGAGGAGGAGGAGGAGGAGGAGGAGGAGCTCGTTCCTTCCATCAATGCCAATCGCCTCGCATACTGCCGAACTGTTCGACACTGGGCTTGGGGCAGCTTCGCTGTGTCCCTCCCTCGAGACCTTTCACGTGGGTGAGGCCAGCTGCGCTCGAAGTGAGCGTTTGGCGAAGTGCCCCCCCTTTTGAGGACCCGCGCGGGCCGCACGGGGGGACTGAGCGGCCCCTTGGCCGCGAGGCGGGGGGAATGACAATGCCAAGGTGCTCTGGAAAGCGTGCTCCAGAGAACGCAGGAATCACAAGCGATCTCGCCACGACGACTTCTGGTCCGAAAAGATCCCTGCTTAACCTTCCGTGGCGAGGGTGGTGGTGGGAGTCTCGCGCGGATTCAGTGTTTGAGAGAATCCACCTTGGGCTCCGTCTCCGTCAGCGCCTCCATGATCGCGTGAGTGCAGGCGACCCGTCTCGGTAAGTTCTCCTCGCAGGAGTAGTTGCTCAAAATGTCGAGAACCGCGAAAGCTCTCTGGCATGCCGGCGCGCCTTGCTCTCCCTCGCGCTCCTTCTGTGCCGTCATGTACCTCTGGAGCGCCGAGTAGCATTCCACCGCGCATGCGTGCCTGCGGTCCATGATAACGCTGATCATCCCTGCGAGCTTGAGTGTGCGGGCGCGATTTCCGAGCTGATGAACGATGGCCTTCATGTTGCCGACGTCCACGTACTCGTCTTCGTCCAGGGTCTGGTCGGCGTGGCCCTTGTGCTGCTTGCGATTTTCGTCTCGACCTGGATCGCTCGCTCCTCGCGGGCGCAGTTGGGCGGCTTGGCGAGCTCCTGGGTCGATGCGGCCGACGCTGCTGCTGCGCTTTGGCCTCCACTCGCGCGGGCCATGTCCGGCTCTTTGCATATCGCGGATATGACAACACGGAAGCAGGCGTGGCCGGATGTGAACCTCAGCATGTTTGAGGAAGACGGCGAAGGATGGCTGCTCTTCGAAGCGTGCGGGACGTTCCAAGCTTTTCGGCGCAAGCATCTTGTCCTCGGCGGCCTCTGCCACTCGGGCAGTAGTTACTGCGCGCGCTGGCTGCTGCATGGCGCGCTGCGCTAGCTCGATCGCGGAGCGCACCGTCGCGCAAAGTACGCGCGCTCGCGACGGTGAGGACGCGCCCGATGCGGCGTCTGCCGCGCGCCCGCCTTTCGCGTTAGCGACGCGCGCCATGGGCTGCCTGCGACTGCGCCATTGCGCACCGCGTGCCGTGCCGTCACTGAGCAGTTCAGTACGTGCATGTGTCCCGTCTCCCCGGCGCGGCGCGACTCCTCGGGCCCCCGTCCTCCTCCTCCGCGAAGAACAACGCGCGGGGCTTGGCGACGTCGGTGGAAGGGGAAGCGCTGGGGCACCCGAGTACAACACTGTGCGTCCTGATGTTTGGATGCGAAACCGCCCCGCAGAAGAAACAAGTCTACGTCGCAGATCACATGACCGAGCGTGGTAGAGAGGATCTGCACGTGCGCGCCACCGTGTTTGATCATGTTTTGCAGCCAGGCAAGTCGCCCGATGCGCGTTTTCAGGAAATCACCCTCCATCTTGAATTTCTTATGGGCGATGTTGTTAGTGCTGATGACGACGCGCTGCTCCAGCTCCCCCCACTCGGCCGCGCCGCGAAGCGCGGCTCTGCATCTGCTGAGAATGTGCGATGAGGTCGGAGGCCCCGCCCCCGACAGGGGCCCGCTGCCGCGAGCGCGCACTTTTGCACCGGAGAGAACGGCATATACCGACAACCCCTTGATCCTGCTCCTCCTGGCGCCCATGGGCGCGTCGCTGCGCCGCCCCCCCCCCCCCCCGCGGCGTGGAACCTTGCCTTGGCCGCCGCCGGCCTCTTTCTTCTGAAGTTCGGGCGCCAGCGTGGGCGATTCCGACTGCGAGACCACCACCTACCGAACGCGATGATCTATCTTGCCATCAAAGCCCGTGCCGCTCCGAGAGAAACCTTTTCATGGCCGCGCGCGCTCCGCGTCCAGCGAAGCAGCAGGCGATCTCCTCCTTCTCGAGATTCTGGCTGGCCTCGACCACCTAAGCAACCAAGCAGACAAACCGCTTGAGAGACCCCTGCACTTTTGGCACGAACGCGGGCACCCCTGATGGTTCCCCGCTGGGGTGCCTGAGCGCCACGCCTGCGATGTCGCGGTGACTACGGGACCACCAAAATTGAAAACGAGTCTGTGTGAGTGAAATGTTAATGTCGATGAGCATGAGCGTGAGCAAGTTTGAAATTGAATGGGTCGCGGTGTGAATGGCTTTCAAGATGGGTGTGAGCGATATCTTTAAAGAAGAGAGCGAGAAGACTCTAAGCGTGACTCTGACTCTGAATGTGAACGATCCTGCGTGTGAGCGAATATGAATGCGGCTGCCTTTAGGTGTGAATGAGTCCGACTATGAATGACCTGAGCGCGAGTGAGTCTGAGTATGAGTGGGTTCGGGTATGAGCGAGTCTGAGCCTAAGTGGGCCTCAGTATGAGTGAGTCAGAACACGAATGGGTCTACGTATGAATAATGCATGACTATGAGTGTGCGAGAAAGGGGGGAATGAGCAAAGAAGAAAAGGAAATGAGGACGAGAAGGAGAAGAAGGAGGAGGAGAAGGAAGCAGTGAAGAAATTGTGTGGAAGGGCGGAGGCGTCACACGAATAACAAAAAAACGTCCAAGGATATGGGGAAATACTCCGGCGGTAGGACCCCGCATGAAAACCTGACAAGTCTGAAAGTACCCCTCATCGTCGTCCTTGTGATGGCACAAGTTGTTTTCCTGTCCCGTTATCACTTGTCCCATCTCGCCCTGGAGGAAGCCCTCCTCCCGCCCCGCGCTGTGCCTCTTCCTCCTTCTCTTCCTCCTCCGCCTCCGCCTCCGCCTCCGCCTCCTCCTCATCATCTTTCACCTCCTTTTCCTCTGGCTCCAAATCGAGGCTTCCTCGCGATTTATTCAGGAACGATGATCCCGCTCGAGAACTCCTCAACGCTCAGGCCTCAGGGTCCCAAACGTGACGACAGATACAAGGTTCCGATACCCCGCTGGGCTTACCAACATGAGGTGGGGACCCCATGAAACAGAAGTTCCAGCTCGAGACTTTCTCCGTATCGGGGGCCCGAGGAGCCAGAAGACAACCCATAGGGCGGGACTCCCGCACGAGACTTCCTTGCGAGTCGCTCACAAACGAGGCTCCCGCTGTAGCCTTCCTCCGAACTCGGGACTCAGGAGTGTGCGTGCGAGTGTGCATGCGCGTGTGTGTGTGTGTGCGATGGTGATGACGATGTTGATGAGGAGGACAATGATGATGGGAATCGTGATGATGCTGATAGTGGTGATGATGATGGTGGTGATGATAGTGGAACAGTGCTGCCGCACATCGCGCCATCAACAAACACCGGAAAGAGCAACCGCTCTCCGAGACCCAGGAAGTGGTCTCGGAGAGCGAGGGGCCCACCCCCGTGGGGACGGCCCATAAAGGACGACGAGGGAAAGAAGAAGAGGACGGCGGGGCCGCGGGGGAAGAAACGGCAACCCAAAAGAGCAGAAACGACAACGCGAGGGGACGGGAAAAAGGAAGGGGAGGCGACAAAACGACGAGACAAGAAGAAAAGAGGCAAAACGACAGGAAGCGCAATGATGAACACAGCTTCACTGCGGTCTCAGACGAAGAGGCACGAAGCTCAGCGATAATCGAACCAATCATCTGAGTGTGTTGCTGCACAACAGAAGTAGCAATGTGCATCTGAAAGAGAGAGGTGTGCCACTCAAGGTCGCCCACGCAACCAGCCATCTGACGAATCTGCTGCACTAGCTCTGCACGCCACGTCTTGGACTACCGCCGCTCAGCAGCGAGAGCACACAGGCCAGAACGAGAAAGAAGGCAAGCTCGGAGGTGACGGGCTTTAGCAGCCAATGCGCCCCGCACCACAATACGCTCCAACAAAAAGGCAACACTGACTTGCAACGACGCTCTTCTGAGATTCTGGCGCTGCGGAGATTCTGGCGCTGCGGCCTAGGGCAGCAACAACGAGAGCCCCAGCAAGTCCCGGACACTTAGGGACCAGAGGTAGAGCACAACCGTGATACTTCGGCCACTTGCTGGAGGACCCGGGGTCACCGTCACCGAGGTGCCACAGGTCGAGTGGGCGGTGGGGAGGCCGTGGAGCTCGACGGCCGCCAGGGCCAGGGTCAACGCCATCATCGTTGTCGTCAGGAGGATCGGGTCGATGATCACGGGGACCAGGACGCCCAGGAAGGACAACGGCACCACCGAAGCGAACAGGCTGGAGCCAGAAGGCAACCGCCGCAATCCCAGACGACAACCAGGGCCCACGATGCACAGCAACAAGCGAAGCAAGCAGCCCTCGAAGATGCTCAAGCTGTTCGCAAAGCTGAGCTCGCAGCACAGGCGAGGCGGCACGGATCGGTACTTGAACTTCGTGGCATCAGCGGACTGACTAATGCATAGATGCGCCCGCCTGCTACCCTCAATCTGTCGAGCCACCCACTCGATGCGACCAAGCAAAGCATTTCAAGCGCCCGAAGCCGCGATTCATGTGAGGGTTAGAAGCCACGGTCCAGCAAGTGCTAGGGCCAGAATGGCTAGGGTGATGGTGGCGATGATGATGCCAGTGCTGGCCGATGGCCTTGATGTGATGATGCTCGTGATGATGGCGGTGTATTGGTGATGGTGAGTCTGGAAGGAGGAGAGGAGGAGAGGGTGCGGTGTCCTTTTTCCCAACCATCGTGTGGTGTTTGGCCCTTGTTTTGAAGAGAGAGCGCCCCGCGTCCTTCCTCACACTGCCCCCTCCCTCCTCCTCTCATCCCCATCATCACCGTCATCATCATCAGCATCATCATCACCACCACCACCATCAGCATCAGCATCAGCATCAGCATCAGCATCAACATCATCATCATCATCATCATCATCATCATCATCATCATCATAATTACAATCATCATCAGCATCAGCATCAACATCATCACCATCATCGTCAGCATCATCTTCATCATCATTGCCATCAATATCGGCGTCATCCTCATCATCATCAGCAGCATCATCAACATCATCAGCACCATCATCAACATCATCATCAACAACATCACCATTCTCATCCTCAGCATCATGATCATGGCCGTCATGCTCACCATCATCGTCATCATCATCACCGTCATCATCACCAACATCGCCATCAGCTCCGGCAAAGCCCTCACACGCGTCGTGGCCTCATAGGGAGCTCCACCGAGGGCTCAATGGCGCAGCCCGCATGTGGGCGTCACCCCCGTTCCGGCAGACCCCTCACACTCTTCGTGACCCCATATGCCCATAGGGAGCTCCACCTGAGGCCCTGGTGGCGCAGCCCGCATTTGGGCGTCACCCCCGTTCCGGCACGCCTCTCACACGTATTGTGGCCCCACAAGGAGCTCCACCCAGGGTCCCAGCGGCGCAGCCCGCATGTGGGCGTCACCCTCGTTCCGGCACACCACTCACACTATTCGTGGCCCCATAGGGAGCTCCGCCTAAGGTTCCACCGGCGCAGCCCGCATGTGGGCGTCACTCCCGCATCGGCACACCACTCACACTTTTCGTGGCCCCATGAGGGGGCTCTACCTCAGGCCCCGGCGGCAGCGTCCGCATGGCGGCCCCGCCCCATTTTGGGACACCCTTCACACGCTTCGTGGCCACATAACGACACCGAAGGCGATACCCACAACGACGGTACTCACAACTGCATATGGTTGGGTCCTTCGCCAGGATAAACTTGCGCGAGGGTGTCAGGAGAAAACAATCCAACACCGCGCTTGCACGGAGTGGACGTGTTAGAGTACTTCTGTGGTCCCTCAGGGAATGTTGTTGAACGTTTCTAGAGTCGACCCACCCTCCGTTCGTGCGCGGGGTAACACAAATCGTCCCCCCTGAAGTTGCTCCCTGGCGCTCTTTTCGACCTCCAGACGGCCAAGATCGCATCCGAGACGGTTAGCAAGATAGACAAGACAACAAAACGGCGCAAGATGGCTCAAAATAGCTCAAGAGCCTTTCAAGACAGCCTCGTCGCGGCCCAAGACGCCCCAAAGAGGCCACCAAGACGGCCTCAAGACGACCAGCCCAAGGGAACTCCAAGGGGCCTTCCTGGAAAGCCTGGGGGGGGGGGCCAAAACCATTGATTTGTCGTTGGTTTTGACATGTTTTTGAGGTTCTCGCCTGTTCGGGTTTCCGCCCGAGACGGCCCAAGGCCTCCAAAATAGCTCCAAGACAACCCAAGAGGCCCCCAAGATGGCCTCAGGTCGGGCCAAGAGGACCCAAATATTGCCGAAGGGGCCCCCAAGACGGCCATAAAGCGCTCCGAGAGAGCAGCAAGACGGCCCAGATTGGGCGGTCGGAAACCCAAATATGCCAGAACATCAGAGTCCTCTCAAAACCTGGGAACAATCAGTGGCTTTGGCCTCCTCGGGTTCTCCTGGCAGGCCTCTTGGAAACCTCTTGGGCAATCTTCAGGGCCTATTGATATGCCTTGAAGCCTTCCTGGGAGCCTTATGATGGCCTCCAGGACGGCTTTCAAGGCAGCCAAGATGACAACAAGATGGCCCAAGACGGCTCAAGAGGCTCTCAAGACAGCCTCAAGACATACCAAGAAACACCCAAGACGGCCCAAGAGAGCCCCCAAAGGCCCTCGTAGAATACCCAAGGAGGCTTAAACCATTGATTTCTCCTGAGTGCTTGGAAGAATTTGAGGTTACCGCATGTTTGGGTTTCCGACCGCCTAAGGCGGCCCAAGAAGTCTCGAAGAGGCCTCCAATATAGCTCCATGACAGCTTAAGAGACCCCCAAGATGGCCTCAAGTCGGCCCAAGCCCAAGAGGCTCCCAAGAAGGCTCCAAGACGACCGTCAACCGCTGCAAGAGGGCACCAACACGGCCTAGAAAGGGCCCCAAGTCGGCATCCATAGGCGTCAGACGGGCCAAGAATCCCCTGAGACAGGACAAGGAGCCCCAAAGGGCCCCCAACAGGCCCCATCAGGCCCCCAAGAAGATTTCCGGCCCCAAGGAGGCCTTCAGGAAGTCCCAAGAAGCCTTCCCCTCATCATGCTCATGTTCTCCTTCTCCTCCTCCTCCTCCTCCTCCTCCTCCTCATCATCATCATCATCATCATCATTCTTTTCTCCTCCTCCTCCTCCTCCTCCTCCTCCTCCTCCTCCTCCTCCCTGGCGCGCGGACGAAGGCGAAGAATGCGCTGCTCCTACGCTCAACCTCCTTCCGGCTGCGCTGCTGCGCAGGCACGGTGGCGGGGCTTTCGCCGCAGGCAGCCGGACAAACCCAGTCGGGATGTGGGGGGAAACAATTCAGGATGAGACGCCGCTCTCGGGCAAGGGCCCAGACCTCCGGGGGCACGCCGCGACAAAAATGATCGAGTCTGGTTTCCCTCGCCGTTGAGCTCGGGAGGAGGAGGAGGAGGAGGAGGAGGAGGAGGAGGAGGAGGCGGGAAGGGCAGCGCGAGACGACGCCCACCCCAGACTGCCGCCCAGAATCGCCCGCCCTGGATTAGCTACGGCAGGTTCGTATATAGGCCTCACACTGGGATCCGAGTAGATGGGGGCAGGGGACAGTGCCGAATCGCCAGTGGGTTGCTGATGCATCGGCGATGCGTCGGCGACGTCGGCAGATCATCGGCGAAGTCAGCGCGATGAAGATCGGGCTCCATATTGAACCGCATCACCGATGCATCGGCGATGCGGCATGATCCAACGACCCCATCGACTCAGACACCACTTGCGAGGTCTGGGGGATTTCGCTTGGAGTAGTACGAAGACGAAATGGGGGAGATGGTGAGTTTCTCATCATCCTCCACCTCGTGTTCGCCCTACTCCAATCATCGTTGGCCTCTACAAGAAAGCGTGCACTCTTCTGGCAGGTACGTGCCCTTCCTCTGAAATCACCTCGTCCTCCTGCCCTTGGTCTTCAGCAAAAAGACGATGAAACAACAACAATCAACATCGAATCGGAAATTGAGCTGGATCAGGCTGAATTGGCACGTAGCCGAAATCGGATCGGACCGGCTGCTTCAAGATGCGCACCAATCACCGGGCCATATCAGATCGTCGGAAGATCGGACTCGAATCGGATCGAAACGGACACCGAGGGGACGAGGACGACGAATCGCCCTGCTCGTAGCGGAGCGAACTCTTTCGGCAACCGTGGCTCATGCGATCTCTGCGGGGGTGCAACTACAAATGTCTCTAAGGATCCCCTCTCGGCAATATACGGCTCTCTCAATACACTTCGCGACCTCCCACTGGTACGCCTCGGACTTCCGCCTCACCTTGCGGGATACCTTTGGCATCTGCTTCAACCTCTGAATGGGATCATCGGAACTTACATCCCCATAACATCTCATTGCGTGCTTAGTCTGGTTGAGAAAGAGGTCCCTGCCGTAGTCGTAGATGACCGTGTCTGCCGCGTACCACTGTTCCATCATCCTGACCTTCTCAGGTGTAGGTGTCATCTTCGCGATGAGGGTCTTGCCGTCGAGGTAATTCGCAGGGCGCGCGTGGATGTCACTTATCGACTCCAGGTCAACCCATGGGAGAAGCACCTTCAGATAGGCCAGAGTCGCCTTGAAGTGGTCTGTAATGCCCACGTGGCAGCTGCGGAGCTGTCCCTTCGCGAGGTCTATGATGGAGGCTATCGGCTGCTCGCAGCCCTCCTCGTCGGCACAGCCCAGGTATCTAGCCATGTACTCGCCACCGCCAGTCCTGCGCACCGCCAGGTCCAGCCTCTCGAGCGACAGCTGATTCATTTCCTGGCCGTCGAACTGGTCTATCACCCCAAACCTGGTGTAATGCGCCACGGTCCTGTCCAGCGGCTTCCGGACCATGACGAAGCATACTTTGTCCCGGCTCTCGGTGGGGTGGACTTCGAAGAACAAAACACTACTTAAGCAGAAACTTTCGGCGGTCCGCGCGGATTTCTTAGATCGGCGCTGGACCCCCATCCCCTGACGCGCGGAGCGCGCACGGGGCGGAGCCGGAGGCACCACCAAGGAGACCCAGTGCAGATCCCCAAAAACCGCGCGGACCTCCGACAATTGATGTTTCTGCCATTTTCTCCCATGCATTCAGACACAGGCAGCCTCCCCAACCCCCAGGGGAGGAAGAGGAGGCGGAGGGACCAGAGTAAACACCAGATGCATCATCGATGCTGCAACACCTTCCTCCATCCTCCATCCTCCGTCCTCCATCCTCCATCCTCCCCCTCCACAGTTACTCAATATGAAAATACTCTCCCTCTTCCCCTGATGGCGTCCGGGTGATGGCCGCGCACCCTCCGCGTACTGTTTTTTTACACACCGGATTCCCGGGAAATCCCGGGAAACGACTCTCGCTGAGGCGCCGGCGCCATTTTTTCCCAAAATGCTGCTCTCGTAGAGGCGCCGGCCTCATTTCTGCTCCCGAATCGTTCCGAATCGCGCTCCCGCTGCAGCGTGGGCCTCATTTTCGGATCGGTGTTTGGCCTCCGTCGTTCAGGATGGCGTTCTCGCCCCAGCGCGGGCCTTTTTCTCGCGCGCCCATCCGCCCGCCACCACCGCGCCGCACCACCACCACCACCACCACCCACCACCACCACCACACCACCACCCACCAGCACCACCAACACCACCACCACCAGCACCACCACCACCACCACCAGCACCACCACCACCACCACCACCACCACCACCACCACCACCACACCACCACCACCACCCACCACACCACCACCACCACCACCACCACCACCATCACCACCACACCACCACCACCACCACCACCACCACCACCACCACCACCACCACCACCACCACCACGACAACCACGCACACACGCACGCACGCACGCACGTGCACCACCACCCACTACGCACGCGCGCGCGGAGCCACAGGTCCGCTACGACACGCGTCCGCGGATAGAGAAAATCAGCGCCATGGTAAGGGATGGGAGGGAGGGGTAGGACGTCAGATATGACGCGAGCGCACCTAGCTTGTCCTCCTCCCCCTCCTCCTCCTCCTCCTCCTCCTCCTCCTCCTCCTCCTCCTCCTCCTCCTCCTCCCCCTCCTCCTCCTCCTCCTCCTCCCCTTCCCCCTTCCCCTCCCCTGTCGCCTGTCCCCTCTTCGTTAGTCACTGCACGCCTTCTCCTGCAGTACGGGACGCGTCCCCTTGAGAGACCAGCACCCTACAGGCCTGCCATCTTTCCGATGGCCCCACTTGAGAGAGATGCTGCCTCTCTTCTTCAATTCTTCTAGCGCGCCGTAACGGGTACGACAACGTGTGATTACGCCGGCCCACGAGGCGTCCAGCGAGATCCCCGTCGTGAAGGAGGACCGCTCCCGTCTGTGTGACTGATGCGCAAACCATCATGCTGGCCATGAACACGCGAAGACATTTCAAGCAAGAACTCTGTGCTGATAGGAACCACCTTCCATCCGTCCAACTGCTGCTCATGTTCAAACTTCTGCTCATGAATGTCACAGAAATCTCAAACGAGAACGCCTCTGTTAAAAGGTGCAGTCTTCCATCCGGCAATTCTTGCAAGGATTTAAAACGAATATGCGCGGCGCTGAGGCGAGTCTTTTTTGAACAGGAATCAGCAGTTCGGGACCGCACATGGCCATCGACTAACAAAGGGGGCAAGCAGGAGGAGAGCAAGGAAGGCACCGATAGAAAGAGAGAATAATGGAATCAATACTTGAACAATGCCATTCGCCCCTCCATCTGTAAAACGGTTCCGATTTTGAAACGTCAAGATCGTAACGGGTGAGGAAGTATCAGGCGAAATGCCCGCCCGCCCTATCGACCCGTCTCGAGGTGCGACACGGAGGAGTCAAGGAGGAGGAGGAGGAGCAGGCAGGAGAAGGAGAATTGGAACGGACCCGTCGAGACAAGCAGACTACACAAAGAGCCTCTGGGCCACAAGCGTGGGACTGGTGCTGCTTGCATTCTGCAAAACACCTACAGCACTACCCAGCACGTCCCACTTATGAGGATGCAAAGAGCTCCATCGCAATGGTTGGCGCCTTCTTTTCCGAAAGGCGCTTCTGCTCCAGAGTCCGCCTCCACCTTCTGGCCCCTAACAAACGACCGTGGGACACCGGAACGCCAGCCCGGGCACGGGCCCCAGCCTGAGCCTCTCTGGTGTACTCTAAATTTGGACGAAGAGAGGTACATACAACTGCCTGTGGAACTGCAGAAACATCATCCTTGGGAGGTCCGCGCCGATCCTAACGATCCGCGCGGACCTCCAACAATTCATATTCATGCAACGTTTGTTCCGGAGGCGGCTGGGGCCGGGGCCGAAGAATCCGGCGGCCAGGGGCTGGAGCCGGGCTCATGGCGCCGGGCCATCGCCAGGCTGGGCCCCAGGCCGTGGCCGTGGCCCGAGCCCACGAGGGCCAGCCTGGGCGGCGGGAGGCTCAGCAGGGCCGGGCTGGGACCCCGGCCAGCTGGCCGGGGCCGCGGCTCTGGCTGGAGCTGCGGGTATGACATTCGGATGACGCCGGCCGGGGCCAGGACCGAAACCGACGGGCCGGCCGGAGCTGGGCCCACGGCGACGAATCCTCCTTCCCCACCTCTTCCGTCCTCGGTGTTCGGCGCCTCGGAACACGAATCGACACCTGACCCGCAATCGACTGACCAGTGGCCTGGCGCAAATGAGCGCCCAAAATGTGTGCGAGCACCTGGGGACCAGCAACAATCATGTCGACCGCAGTGCCACCGAGCACCGAGCCGTGCCTGTGAACACCAATGTGCCTGCAAACGCCGCGCTGTGATCGGTGCGCGCAAGCGCTGCGACCGCACCTTGCTGACATGCTGTGGTGCGTAACGCGCGCGGTGCGGCACTGCCAAGGGCGCATTGCGCGAGGGGGGGCCAGTGCTTTGGGGTTGGGGAGGAGAGAGGCGTCACGCTCTGAAGAAAGGTGAGGCGGGGGAGGCCTAACGCGCGTCATGGCCAAGCGTTTACAGTCAATTTGCTTCGAGCGATCCCCACCGAAACATTCGGCGTTAGTTCCCGAGTCTGGTACTGCTTGTTGGTGCGGCCAACCTGAGCTCGGCACGCGCGTCGCGCTTGACAAGACGCCATTATTCGGTCGCTGCTGCATTGTTCTCGATCGCGTTCCCTTCGGTTCTGTTATAAACGCATGCTGTTTGTCATGTTCTGCTCCCGATGGAGCGGCGTGACGTCTAATACGTCGTTGCTGCGCCAGCTTTTGTCCTGCGGTCAGCCTTACATCGGCGTGGATGCTGCGTTTGACAATGTGCCATTCATCTGTCGCTGCTGCATTCAAACCTACTCTGTTCAATTGGGAAAATCCAACCCAATCAAAACCAGAGACACCACCCTAGAAAACCCTGACAACCTAGAAAAGCCCACACGTTCGAGGATATCTCGAGCGAGCCTTGCCAGAACACTTCGCTAACCACATCTTGGAACGCAGAGCTGTGAGGGTGTCCCAAGCGAAGCGGGCCTGAACACGTCAAGTCAGGGCATATCGCTGGCCAAGGTCCCGAAGGATGTCTCACGCGAAACGGACTAAAACACCTTGCCAAACGCATCTTGGAGCCGAGGTCGCACCCACCGGACCACCATCTTTCCAGCTGCGCTTGCTTTTTAAGTTGGCCATGCTGCATAATGACGACAAGACGACCTACCCCGGACAAGCCTTTTGACAACCCAGCGGGGATCCTGAGAATCCAAAAGGACAACCCTCATTTGGGCAAGTTTCCCAAGGATTTTCTTCCATCACAAAGAATCATCAGCAAGGCTTAATTCCATACTGTTCTAGTATATGATGATGAAATGTGCTCTGTTATGTTCTCGAACGGCTGGCGTGATGTCGTGACGCCTGTCACGTGAGATTCGTCGTCCAATCGGGCGTTGTTGCGTTTGTTTGTTCCTGTGGCCAACCTGACATTGGCGCGTACGTCGCGCTTGATTGTTTCATGGAGCCGTCGATTCTGTTATGGTTTTCGTTTGAGGAGACGGCGTGAGCTTGCGGTTGGGCTATGGAATTTTGTTTTATTATGTTCACTTCAATGTAACGTCCTAGAAAAATTGTAACCTTATCATGTGTTATGTTATGTTCTGGACGGGCCGGCGTGACGGCGTGATGCCTGTCACGATTTACATGTCGTCCAATCGGTCATTGCTGATACTGTATATTTATGTCGCCGAAATGGGCTCGGCATTACCAGGTCTCTGCTGCAGTTTACACTGTGACGTTATGTTCAGCTCTGCTGCGTTATGTGCAAATGTGGTTATGTTGTGTTCTGCTCTTGACGCGGCGGCGTGACGTCGTGGCGCCTGCCACGTTTGATCTGTCGTCAGATGGGTCGTTGCTGCGCCTGCATGTGTCATGTTGTCAACATTACGCCTGTGTGGCCGCCGCGGCTGACAGGACGCAGCAAATCGGTCGTTGCTGTATCAACAGAATTCAACTACGGTAGATCACACCATTTCTAGTCGGCTATACTGTGTGATGCTATGTTGTCCCCGACGGGCTGGCATGACATCGTGAGTTCTGTCACATGGGATACGTCGTCCAAGCAGTCGTTGCTGCGCCTGCTTGATCCTGTGGCCTCTTTGACCTCGGCGCGTACGTCGCGCTTGATTATACGATGGCACAATCGATTATGCCATGCTGCTCCTCTTCTGTGGTGGTTCACTTTATCATTCGAAAAATATGTCGTGCTATGAACAGCTCTGTCATATGATGTCACAATATGAGCTTTACCGTATGATGTGCTAGTCTGTTGTACTATGCTCGGTCGTGGTGCTTACGATACAATATGGGAATCATCTTTCGGTCTGCGATGTGCAAATCATGGCATCTCTATGTGACCGTGTTTGTCCTCCCTGGGTTACGGTCGTTACCTGGGGGACGGGGGGGTCGGGCGCGAGGGTAACAATAACGGCGCCCGCGGCGTGCACCCGCCAAGTTGCGTCTGCGCGCGCAGTCCCACGCGCTGTCGCTGTACGACTGCGGCACGCCGCCGCCCCGCCTGTCGGGGGTTTCCGCAGGCGGGGCGCTACTCCTCCCCTCCCCTCCCCATCCCCTCCTCTCGCGCGCCGCCATGGCGCCGCTTGCTGCCGCTCCTGGCGCGCAGCCCCCCCCCTGGTGGCCGAGCCGGCGGACACTGCGCTCGGGTGCATCACCCTGGCCTGACACCCAGCGGGGGC